TAGTCACCACATGAATAGCATTGAACACCATTCGATAGAGCTTTCAATCGTCCACATAGAGGGCGGGACACGACATATGGACCCATCGGACTAGAAGTGGACATCAGAAAATAGTGGATCAAAAAATCCAATCAAATGGATTAGTTGATCAAGATTGGCAAGATTGTCAATCTTATTCGAACTGAGCTAAATCAGATAGTCAATCTGATGTTAAAGAGGGAGAAAGAAAAGAACAAGGCCAAGAACTTGGTAAAAACCTGGGATTCCTTCCCAGACATCCAGGCTGCCTCTGGCTGCGCAGAATGCGCAGCTAAGCAGGGCCCAGGCAAGGTTGGGCAGCCCCAGCGCAGAATCGAAATTCTGGAAGAAACATATCTTGTGTAGAATGCGCTGTGAACAACTTGTGGCTGAGGATCACCTCAGATTTCCTTATTGAATCCAAGATTAAAAAAGAAGAAAATGAAAAATCTACCTAAAGAAGGCACACCCTTTTAAAGTTTAAACCCCTCAGAGAAGTTCAGAACCCCCTTTATTCCGCCCCTCCCCCCCCACCCCATGCCCCCCACCGACAACACTAAGAACCAAAAACGAGCCCGGATCTGGGCTGCTTTCAGTGGGTGCAGAAATGCCTTACTGAACGCCACCGCCCCCCAAAAAAGTTGAAAAAACAAAACAACGGACTTCTTTTTTCCTTTTTTTGCGCGACTTGCCCGGCTCCCCAACTGGCCCTGCCTGGCCAAAAGGCTTTACAATGTTAGATGGATTATTAAATGCTCCACAGATAAACCCCTGTTTCCATCAGCAACCATGAACTGGTGTTGTCCATGTAAGCATGACAGCTGGCCATTTGTGATGAGATACTCATAAGCAAGGCAGCCGTAGCTCTTAACATTACCGACGCGCAGGTTTTGAATTCTTGATCTGTGAGTCAATAGTTTTTCCTGCATGCCACTCGCACAGTGACGACGTCACCAGCAAAAAAAAAGATGCTAGAAGAAGAGGACCTGACTGAACCAGCAAGAGCCAATTAAAAAATAAGTTAATAATCCTCATGATTAAATAGCAAATACTAAATACTAAATGAACTAATTACTAATCAAAGCCTGCAAAATCTTTGAGTGCAACCTGCAAGAAGTGAAAGGTCACAAGACTCACAACGCGGTTTTTAGCTATAGAGTCTATAGACACCCATCCAGAGTGCAAATCTTGTTATGACACCCACCGCCACCTACTTCGCCCCACAAGGAACAGTCCTAGCTCCTTGAAACCATCACTATCGCTGAGCCTCATTGTGCCAAGGCGAATTCCCCCTGCGTCGCTGTGCGCCAAAGTAAAAAACAACCCACACGGCGGTGTTTTCTCTTTCTTTTGCCTGTCACCACCAGCCATTTTGCTTCAATAGCACTGTTCATTTGAAGAACCATTAATGTCGCATGTTCGTTCTCGACCTTGCCTGGGAAATGTACTGGTGGTTTAAGCACACTGTTTGGAAGGTTATGGCTGGGGCTCTATCTGACAGATTTCCTCAGCAATCAAGCTGACAGATGCTTCCAGTGTTCTGACGGGGTCCGAGCTCCGGTAAGCATAAAAACTTCAGACCCACATAGATGAAGAGCATACAAGGCACCATCCTATCCTAGAAGAACCCCCCTCCCCCCTCCCCCCCTCCCCACTTAGAAGAAGAAACCCAAAAAAAGAGCACGCTACGCACTCCAAAACTGCCAACATTTGTTGGCTTGCCATCGGCCTACCCTACCCTACCCTACCCTACCCTGGAAGAACCCTGCTCGCCCCCCCCCCCCTCTTAGAAGAAGACACCGAAAAAAGAGCACGCTAGCACTTCCGAACGTCAACATTTTTTAGCATACCATCAACACCAGTCAATCACTTCTTCTCCACTCTCAATCACTTTTCGCCGCTCTCAAGCAGGTGAGCACTGCTACCAGCCTCAAACCCTGACTGATCTGACTGCGTAACAGTTATAAAAAATAAATCGTCTGTATACGTGATCCTATCGCACATCTTATTTGCTGCTCATGGCAAGAGCGTTTTCCTTCAGTCTGAAAGCTTCCCACTCCCTCCCCCCTTCCCCCCCTCCCTCCCTCCCTCCCTCAAGGACTGGAACTACAAAGGACATAGAATAGAGAGCCGTATGATAGGTGACGACTGTCATCAAAGGAAATTTTAAACATGCACACCAGCCAGAGGCTCCAAGCTGAATACTCCTGAGCAGAGGAAGACCTAAAGCACACACACTTAGGCTGGCAAACTGAAAAAAACACTAACACACACTGCTGAAAGGAGCAGATAACCTAATGCATGGGAGGCTGTGAGCTACCGTCTTCCCCTCGAACAGAAGATACGGTCATTATTGCTGTGCCTAATAGACTGAGAGTTCCTCCCAATACAGGCATAACGACCATGCGTTTTATTCGGGAGAAGACAAGTCAATGCCTGGAAAAGATGACCTGCTGTGATGGGCAGCCTGACATGCCTGGCCTAAACCACACACAATTAGCTTGGCATGTCTGAGGCTGCCCGTCACAGCCGTATCTAGACTGACAGTTGTCCCCAATACAGGCAATCTAGTGCATGTGAAGGCCTGTTATGGCAGGCTGTCTGGCGATCAACCTTCACCTGCTTGCGTATGTGAATTGTATCTATTCCCACCTACCTCTCGTTCACACACACACAAAAAAAAAAAAAAACCTTCCCGTCTATTCTTCTAGGAGGAGTCTATGATATCTAATAAAATATTAAAATTATAATTCCCACCTATCTAACTTTCTGCTCATCAAATTTTCTATGCACCTTTCCACCTACCCTTCAATATGTCCATGTTCATATCTACTTCCATGGTTCCCTCTAAATCTATTGATTTTTTGTCTGATCTGGCTCCTCCAAAATACGATGCAACCACATCCCTGGTTGTAATTTTTTTGTCCTTTTCTGCTTCATTACCCCTGCTCCGCTTCTTAGGGCATACTCACGCTAGCACATATTTTTGCAAATTTTACGTATATGGATTTGCGTTTATAACTTTATATGGCACCTCCGGGTCACACTGCTCGCCCCTTTGTTGCCCAAAACAGAAAGGACAGGGTCGCGACCTGGCCTCGAGATGCGAAAATACGCTGTGTGCAGTCATACAGCAGCACGATGCACAATTTCTTTTCGTTTTGTTTCGAGAACGCAATAGAGGAAAAAGAAATACAATTTTGCTGGGACCTCTGGACGTCCCCGCAAAATACGTAAACCCGCGCGCGGCTGTCCAGGCCACGGACATTTACGTGCCCTTCTGTGTGAACACGCAAAATACGTGCCCCTTGTGACCCAGAAAATCACGTAACATTTGCGATTTTGCGAAAATACGTGGTAGTGCGAGTATGCGCCCTTAGACATGTGGAACAGCAACACATACATCCTGCCAAATCTCCTCAGTGAAACGGCAAGAAAGTTGAAGAAAGTCAGATACGAATGGTTCTTCGTCTAGCTCAAGTCCCGCTATCCCCTCTTTAAAACAAACAAACAAACAAGCAAACTAAGCTATATTCTTCTCTCATATGCCTCACGCTACCTAATCTCCTATCTAAGTGCAGCTCAGAATCGTTGAATGTTGCAGTTATAGGTTGACACCGACCTCCACCCATGCCTAAGCACCGCTGCAATCCCTAACACGTGGCGCGAGCTAGAAGGCTACTGACTCCCCAGCTACCTCCTAACCAACCAGGAGGGGCAAGCCAACGATCTCAGCTGGTGAACCCGAAGCATGGCACAGGGCGCTGCGGTGAGTCCCTCTAATTCTTCTAATCCCTTTAATCTCTTTTATCCCTCTAGCCACTGACATTATGCCATGTCGAGGAACCCGCAGACAATACTCCAGAATTTAGGATTTATAGGGAATAAGGCAAGAACATGTACAGCTCCACTGGGAGAAGAAGGGTGAAAAAAAAGAGAACATGTCGCACTCGACGAGACCTAGCGGAACAGCGGTAGAGAGGTGGTGCATCCTACCATTCGGGTAGTAACCAATGTTGCTGTCTCGGGTTCTCTAGGTCATAACGGAGAGAAGCGTTGAGTGAGTTTTTCTGATACAACGGACGCTGGACCCCTTTTCCAGCATTTAAATATAAAACTGACTCTTCTTTTTGTTTTAAAAAGACCTAGTGGAAATTTTAGAAGAGCCAGAGGAACCATGTGATGGGGCAGTCTGCATCCCATGTGATTTGAGTAAGAAAAGAGAAAACAAACAGGGTAGGCCTGTAGGAGTCCTTTATGGCAGACAGTCTAAAGACTCTAAACTATACAGCATCAACTTCTGGCTTTCGGCACGCCCTGACTGACGGCATGCCGCCTCGACTTGGTGGATACCATTAATAGAAAGCGTGAAATTTTGAAAATCAGTCGACGCCTAGCTGAAGGCGTAACACGATTTGAATGAACACAAGACCCTCTGAGATAGTCAAAAGTTCTCTAGAGTCTAAACTACGTCATTCCTAGCTGAAGGCGTAACGTCGAGCTTTTGACTCGGTAGATGAGATCAGTAGAAATAGTGAGATATCGAAAATCAGTCAATGCCTAGCTGAGGACGTAACGCGATTTGAATGAACGAGATGAACGAAATCGAACCTGTCTGGAGAAAAGCAAAGGAAAAGAAAGAAACCAAATGCGAATGAACAGTGGTCAGAGACACCAACTGGCCAAGCGCAGTCGGTATACCCCATCAGTAGAAATAGTGAGAAATCGGAAATCAGTCGACGCCTAGGTTAAGGCGTAACGCGACTTGAATGAATGAGAAGAAGGAAATCAAACCTGTCTAGAGAAAAGCAAAGGAAAAGAAAGAAACCAAATGCGAATGAACAGTGATCAGAAGAGACACCAACTGGCCTAGCGCAGTTGGTACACCCCTGACCTGTCGAAATACAGACCTGAGTTCAAACCCCACTGGAAACAGAAGAGTAAAATTAATAAATTAATAAATTTAAATTATACTAAAATAAAATACTAAAACAGCGATCACAGAAATGTCCCGTCCTGAGGATCACATAAGCAAGTCCACTTAGCACAGACTTGAACAAATAAACAAGAAGGGAAATTCAACTTTCAAACGAAGAATAAAATAATAAAGATCACTGCAAGCCGTCTTATCCTCTTTAGCTCTTGGACAATATCTGTTCCGTCTTCCTATAGCCAAACGCTAGACTCATTCAGATGTGAGAAAAGTAAATAAAATAAAAAAAATAAAAAAAAATAAAAACATCCACCATCCATCCATCCATCCCCCAGGTTGGTGATCAAGCTTCTATCTAGTCTATATCGCCGTCGTCAAGCCATGCTTGAAGACGCCGTAACCTCTTCAGCTCTTCTTCACCGCTAGCCGGATCTTTAGCGAATGCAAACGCAGACTCTTCTGAGAACTCAATTTCATTCCTGTGCTCGCCGGTTTCTGGCTGACTGGTCACGGATTCCGATGTCTCAGCGTCAGGATTGCCCCTTCCTGAAGCGTCGCACTCTTTGTTATCGATGCTGGCCCTTCTGCGTACCTGCAGGTCCCTTGTGGCATCCTCCGATCCGTCATCGCTGCAGTCCCATTTGCCGGACGTGGAGGGAGTTAAACCTCCCCCCTCCTCCTGGGGCCCCTCCGACGCCGAGTATGGACTGGTGTTTATGACCTCCTTTGGCCCATCGAAAAACGGAATCATTGACCATCCAGACAGCTTCCCAACACTCTCTACAGTTGCACCAAGTACCGATCGCAAGTCTAACGAGCCGCGCAAATTTAGCGATCCACCCTTCTCCAGCACAAGAGGTCTTTGCGCTCTAATTGGGATAGCAGACAATGAATGGGACAGCTTCCGCTGGGGCAATGACGACACATCGCGGGTGTCATCAGAAGTCCCACTGGCATTGGCGCCACCGGAGGATGGCCACCTTGAACTGGAACTCCTGTAAAATGCAGGGCTGCCCTGACCGTGATGCTGTCTCGTGGGACTCGAAGCTGGTGTGGACCATGGCGTGAAACCCGGTTGCAACAGCTGGCCGCTTCTGTCAAGGTCGACGATGAAGGAGAGGGTAAACGATAACCGTACACCACCACATAAAGCAAAACGCAAACAACACGGTCCACACGACATTTGATTTGGCTGTATCACTAAGAGAGCGGTAGGAAAGCTGAAATTTGCGCAACAGAGTCCAGGAGAAAGCACATACTACATGGCATGGACTGGCGGTTCACGTCTCTGGGTCATACATTGCAACGGACCGAAAGAATGCAGACAACAAAATCACAGTCCTTGTAAGCTCCATGGCTTCTGCCGCACATTTTAAATTTGTGAGAGGGGGGAGGTGCCCAAAACATTCCGTAAAGGGTAAAACATACTAAGTCGCACCCGTAGCAACAACAGGAAGCGCCTTGACAGCCTTAGGCAAACAGCATGCCGGCAGCGAAAAAGAGCGAACGAGAATAACGTATACCTTGTGAGAGAGAGGAGGTGGGGAGTGAAGGAGAGACAAAGAGCATGAAGTACACTAGAGAATGAAGTATACAGCAAGTTTGTGGCTGCATGCCGACAGTGAAAGAGAGAGGAACTAATCTGAGGAAGAGAATAACGTATACTTTGTGGGAGGGAGGAGGGGGGCAGTGAAGGAGAGAAGAAGAGAATGGAGTACACTTTGAGAGAGAGAGAGAGAGAGAGAGAGAGAGAGAGAGAGAGAGAGAGAGAGAGAGAGAGAGAGAGAGAGAGAGAGAGAGAGA